ATCTGTCCTGAAAATATTCCTCAAAAAAGCTGAATCCCATTTTGCCTGTGACATATAACAGGCTCTCAGATGGGGAGGAGGAGGAGCTGTCTTTGCAGAAATGGTGAAGCTTTGTGGGGGATTGTTATGCTATGTTTTTTCCCCTAAATTCTCTATGTAAATGTGATTGCTGGTTATAACTAAAAGGGCTGCAAGAATATCTAATGGTATTTTGATAAGTGGTTAGCTCTTTTGGGAGTGGTGTTGCGATTGAATATCAATTTTGTAAGAGGTTAGGTTTTTCATGCGGGGAAAAAAAGCTGCTCAATTCAGGCAGTAGACAATAATGTCCTCTGAAGCATAAAATCATTGTTGATACAGAGCTATAGATTTCCTTCAAAGCAGAAGGTTTTGGTATTGATGCTTACTAGGAATTTAGGATTTAATTAAGTTGCTGACTTGCAGAAAGCCACATGCTGGCCTAAGCTAACATACAGACTTCTAATAGAAAAGGGATGCAGAAAATAATAACAGCTTCGGCAGGGATTATCATGATTTTGTAAGTAATTCTAGGTAAATTAGAAATAATTCTAGTGCACTTGCAGCTGCTGCAAAGCAAATCTTTTCCCTTTAAAGGGAAGTGGGCAAAGGATAGGAGAGGAAACCATGGGAGACAGGATGGGTAGTCTATTTGGATTGCTTTTAATATTCACTGCATAGTGGTGTGTTGGCTACTGTGATGAAAACTTTCTATTAGTACCTTCAGGGAAATGGGGAAGGAGGGATTATAGCTGTGACTTTCCTACTGAGTCTTTAATTTTGCTTTGTGCAGAAGTGAAGAGGACAAGTTGTCCACGACTGGGCTTTTCTGAATATAAATGTTGCCTTCCACTTACTGGCTTGATGCTATTTTTTTTTTTTTTTCAAGCTGAGAAGTGTTTTCTATCCTCTGTTGTTTTTAATGGAAGGGAAAATGGAGATGAAAGAACTCTCTTGAGCCTGGAGTTTGCACAGAGGCCCTTCGCTCTGTCCTCCCGTCGCGTGGGTTGCTGAGGTGACCGAAGGCGGCCTGTGTAGTGCTGAGGTGCGAGGGCCCAGCGGAGCCTCCTCTGCCGCGTTCCCTGCAGCCCTGGGTGCTCTGAAGACCTTTGTCTTCACCATAATGTACATGCAGTACCAGTCCAAGTTCTCCTTTAACCCATAACCCCAAGCATGATAGCAATTTGGATTGATTTAATTCAGGCAGCCTTTTTATGTGGGGGTGAAGGGAGGGAGATAACAGCTTAAGAGCTCAGCATTATTCCGCAGTGCAGCGTTAGGTTACAAGTCAAGTGAGGTAGAAGCCTGGCCCTAACATACCTTTTGCTAGTAATAGCAGCACTTTGGATGCCTCAGGTCTGGTATAAAGTTCTTTTACCCTCACGTTTGCCTATAGGATATTTCTCTCTGAGTGAACATGCTCTAAGCGTACCGCTTTGGTATATGTTTAAATAGTAATTGGTGCTGGGGGTGGGTATTTCCTGATACTTAATGATGATTTAAAAGAGTTAGTCATCAGTGGTCAGGAAATACCAACTCCAGATTAGACCGAGTTCAGTTATCTTAAAAATGTTTTAAAGGTATTTCAGTGTCCATCTAAATGTGGTATGTTGTCAGGGACATTATGTGCATAATGGCAGCTTGTTCTGGTGTTTAATTATAGAATAAGTAGTGGAATGCGGGTACTGTGTGCTTTATGTTGTGGAGTAGTTGCCTCTACTTCCCCAGCTTTTGAGAGGTGGTCACACTGTGGTGCCTAAAACCTGGCTTAAATTCTGTAACTATAAGATTTCCTTTTAGATTCTCAAATTAAAGAATACTTGCTGCCTTCCCCCCCTTGGCAACCACAATGGCAGTCTATATGTAAGTAATACAAGACACTTCAGTTCGAGTTCAAAACTTTCCTTTGAGGTTGACCAGGTACCTTCTGCTGTGCCCATGGCAGCGATCATTTTGTGAACCTTGCAGGAAGGATTTTTTTCCTCGTGACTTATGAATTGTTTCATGCCCTGATGATGCTTACAGTAATGTACATTCTTCAGTTTATAGATTAACTTGGTGCCTATGTGTACTTCCGTTCCAGTGACAGACAGTGAAGTATTGGGATCAGAGAACGTCACAGTTTACTCTCTCCCCTTTCCCTCCTCCACAACCTTTACATGAGTTGAAGATGATGGTTGTTTTGCCTATTACACTCTTTCCTATCATAGCAAAGAGCATTTTAGACTTATATTAGATTTTTACAGAAGCTTGTCAGACTTTTTTCAAGGTGGATTGCCAGTCTTTTTATATGGTTTAATATGCCATGATGAACTTCAGATCACTATTTGAAAGATCTTGAAAGATAAAATACCAGGAAGGCTGAGTAATGTTTCCTTTTTAATCCCATTCATCCTGCTTAGCTCAGTTTAGATAAAGATGTGTCTCCTCCTTGCAGGAAAGGGTGCAGATGGAATAAAGCCTTTTGTACCATGCAGATGGGATAAGGCATTTTTGTACCAGCCAGTAAAGCAAACTGGTCAAATAAACCAGATGTGGAGTATACAGTAGATGATGAAGAATTGTGGATATGAAAAAACAACACAGTACTCCCTCAATTTATGAATAGTATCTTGGTACTGTATAGCTCGTGCATTTTTCTGTGCTGTTTTTTCAATATTGACAACTCTCTCAAAGGGCCTGAGATTCCAGATGTAGTGTATCACCCAATGTAGTACTATTTCAAAGTACTTCCCTATTTTTATGTGTGGGTATAAATTTATGTCAGTGTACTCTTCTGCAGATACATTTTCAGAATTAGGGAGCTGTAATTTTTTATTTATTTATTTTTTAATGCATATGGTGGCAAGAATTCATTTTTCAATGTAAGATTGGGGTCTGAATCATTACTTAGAAACAAAGTTGAGGTGTTGAATTTAAAGCTTCTTACAAAAGATTAGGTTTGATACAATTATAAGACAAAATGAGTTCTCCAATTAGAGCTGTACTATTTTGCTAATTTGGGACAGCATGATGTCTTAACATGAGAAATAGTAATCCAGGGTAGTGGTATTAACATCAAACAGTTGTGTATGCGATTGGAATATATTGGATATATTACAGAAAATATATGTAGCAAAAGAGGGCTACGTGTTGTGTCTTTTCTGCCATGCTGCAGCGTGTTTGTCAGTAAGGGTGATGCCTATTATCAGTGGATGGCAGCAGCATGTTAGTTCTGATAGTTAGTTCCAACTCTTCTAGGACACGTGCACGTTGTTACTTCTCTTTAAAACAAGTAACTTCTAGGTTATGAATCTACTCTCTTGTATTAGATGACCAGCTCATGCAGGGTTCATACATTCATGCAGGGATCTACTCCTGTGCTTTTAATCCAGTGTACAGACCTTATCCTGCACCTGGCATGATGGAATAAGTTTATTTAAGAAAACTGGACAAAAATGCAGAGGTTGATGTATACTGATATCGAACAATCATGGTAGTTACTTTTAAAAGTTACATCTGACACTTAAAAAAAGTATTTGTAAGTTCTAGGGACATTGCAGATTCTTTATTCCAGAGGTATTTAGTGCAGATATTTGCTTCAGTCTTTGCTGTCTAGGTAAGCCATGTCGAATTAATATTTGTTGGGGCGGGAGGATTGGGGATTGGGGATGAAAAACAAACAAACAAAAAAAACACCCTAACTTTGGTAATTTATGGCTGATATGGGAAATTCTGGGAACATCTACCTGACTACTCCTACTATCTCAATCTTGTTTCTGTGTTTTGACTGCTTTCCTTCTTGGAACAGGTAATTTTTTTTTTCCAGCTGTAATCTTGTAAAGAAGTACTTTGGGACTTAACTGGGTAATTGCATGCCTCTATGCTTCCATTAAGTATTACACTCCTTTGGAGTGGGCTGAAGGTTCCTGCTGTCTAGGCTTATAACTATTTTACTAGTGCACCCAGATATCCTTTCTTCTGCAGTTATTTTGGTAGGCGCATGCTGAACAATAAAAGTAGCTTTATCAGTCATACGACAAACTTGGATACTGCAGATGAAAGAAGTATTCATGAATAACACTTGACTCAGTTTATAAAAGTAAACATACTCTGCTTTGTGAGACCTGATTTAAAATGTTTTGCTCCTGTACATTGCCCTGCTCCTTGCCAGGTTTTTTTGTGAGTTTTCTTAGGCTATCAGTGAGCACAGCTGGAGTTGGCTGAATCTTGCTCATAACTTGAAGACACAGTGGGAAATGAGGTATTTAGCGTAGAGAGCAGGTAACCTGTAGTGGCCTCTCCCGCTGATCATTGCATTGCAAGAAAAGGCACAGTGGCACTGAAGGTCTCTCATAGGGTGTACTACTCAATAAGAGGACTGTTGTTGCTTGCTAAAAAACACAGGTTTCCACCCTCCATCACAGAAGAATGGAGTTTATGAGCATATTAACTGCAAAACAAAAATAAGGGGCATAATACATATTATTTTTAGTTTTAAGGTAGACAGGATAAAGTGCTGCTTTTGATGGAATGTAGTGAGTGGCAGTCACAGTAAGCTCTGCTGGTTCTCATAGCAGGGTATAGCTACTGCTTCTAGCAGAGATGTCCTAATGTGGTATGGTTGTAACGGTGTCTTAGAAAAAGTTTGCCTGTCAGTCAAGCGTCTTAGAACTGATGAAGCACTACCAAAAGCTAGGTAAAAGCAGACAGCCAAAGATGACTTTGGTTTGTGTGTGTCACGGTATCTCGGAGATCTGAGATAAGCAGCAGCTAGTCATAGCTAGTAGCATAGTCAGTGCAGCTATTATTTTGACCTGGGGTCACGTCCAGTTTGTTTAGGTTTCCCAGAACTATTTTGGTGTACCTGACCCAGAAAGAAGACTGTGAAGGCCCTTCCTGTTGTGTCGCTTGTGTACCTAGCATGAGGGGATGTGGGTGGTGTAGGGAATTTGTAGGGAGTGTCTCAGGCTGTCTACCACAGCATGCCTCAGAGCTGCATTCTCCTGTTCTGCTCTGTCTGTTGCAGGGGTTTCCCATTTTGTTCTGTGAATTTTTGAGAATTGTATTACCAGGTTTTATTTGTGTATAGTGCAGCCGGCCAAGACTGTGTGGGGACTTCTTAAAACAACAGACACTTTTCACATGGTAAGTTAAGTGCTATGGAAACCCAGGACTTCAGTTTTATAGGTAAAAGTGAGAGCTCATAGGAGGCTTTTTTTCTCAAATCCTGGATATACTGAATTCAAATTGCTAAAGAAGATACTTGCTAGCACTTCTCATTGAAATAGACACAACCATGTAGTCTCAGTTTTATTTAGCTTTCTTTGACCAGTTGAGTGTTCATTTTCTGATCTACGCTTGTGAACTATTGTGAACTATTTATGAAAAACTGAATGCCAGATCTTTTTACCTTAAGACTGTGGGCGTTTTAAAGTTTGAGAAATTCTACTGAAAGTTTGTACATGAATTTCTAGGCACCCTTAGGAAGCTTATTCCTTTCTTTAAATGTGCATCCTAATCTAGCTGAGGACATGATGTAGCAATGCTTTTCAAGTTCTTTGAACTCATCTCTACTAAAAGTTTTATTTAATGAGGTCACTAAATAATATTTATTGCTGTACTCATAGCGGGAATCTTCAACTACTTACAATGTAGTCAGAAAACCCTTTTCTATTTACTGATATGTTGAAACAGTTTGACTCTTTGAAATGTATTAAAGAAATGCTTTATCTTAATATTGTATTTAGTAGAGCAACCTCAAATGTTTCCGTAGTTAGAAAACTTGAGCCTTGCTTGGATTTCATTTTGTCCACCACGGAATATTCTCAGTACACTGATCCATAATTCAAAATCCATTTCTTTTGTGATATCTGTCAATAATTAGCTACTTTAAAGCTAGATAAGGTGCACTTAGTAATAGCTGTGCTAACTATAAAGTAGTTTGTTTTTTAAAAAAACTTGTTTCAGTCTGTATTTCTGTAGTGTTTTTCCCCTCAGACCTAGGATGTTATGCAAAGTCAATAATACTGACACACATTGGCTACTTCCATAATCTATGGGTAATGTATATTTTAAAGATTCAAAAAGCACTTTATTTCCTTTTTTCGCCACCCCCAAAATAATTGTATAAAGGAGAATTGAAGCTAGAGCACTTGGCTCTGATTTTGCACCGGAGTGGGCATGGATTCACTTTACATAGAGTGCATCAATCTGGGATGCTTAGGTTTTATAGAGGTGTTTGGTCATCCCTTGCTGATACACTGCGTTTCTCATAGCCCCTTTCAGAGTGCCCCTTCAGAGAGAAGGGCAGCAATGCTGAGAACTTCACATGTTGTAGCTATTTTAATCTTACCAACATGGCCATTTTTATGTGTAATGTAATATTACTATCCAGCAGGAAATATACCCTCCTACTGTGAACCTCCAGACTAGCCAATGTTTTAGGAATGCTTTCTGACCTTCTTTCCAGCATCAGGGAAATCAGTATGTCAAATATCCCTGTTTTGCACAATCCCCACCCTTCCACCCACTTAGGAAAAAAAATTTACAAGCTTGCTTTAGATGTCCTGATTCTTGTGAAATGTAAGATTATTTTTTTTCCTCCTATTTGTATTTTAGTTGTTCTGTACGTCTAGAAAGAGTTTCTTAATTCTAGGTGTTTCTAAGAGAGGGCCTTAGCAGTAACAAATTTTATAAAAATCCCTGTTAGTAGAAAACTCACTTAACTACTGAGAATATTTTGAACGGTAAAAATACTCTTGACAGAACAGCATCCCTGAGAATAAAAAACAAACAAATTAAAAACAGACTAGGCAAACATTGATCAGATGTATATTTGTCTGTGAGTAGAATCTTTTAAGTATGGGCAGATATAAGTATGTTCTGTAAAGTTAACTGAGTAATAAGGTCACTCAAATCTTTTGGGGTGTTTTGCTGTATTAGGTAAATAAGGAAGGATGGAATCAGTGCCCAAATCAAGTTTAAACTTGTGTTGTTTGAAAACTTTTAAAGGTTAAATTCAGTATTCTGGAAGTTGCCACTAGATCAAATATTGTAGACATTCATTTTAATAAAATATATGTCTTCAGTCTGAGTGCTTTGTCAAGTTAGTAACCTATACTTGGGTTTTTTACAGCAGAAGCAGGGCAGGAATGAGGTGGAGCAGCTGTGGGATTGCCTTTTGCTTCAGACTTGGGTTTGCAGTGCAAAACCCTGAACTCAGACACCTCTTCTGACTTGGTCCTCGTGCCTTGTCTTACCAGTCACTCCATTGCCAGTTAATGTGTTTTTTTTTTCACAAATATTCTTCTGTCTGGAAAAGATAATTCAGCAATGGGATTGCAGACATCAGTATGTAATATACAGGGAAAATTGCCTGTAAGCCCCGTCCCCTGATCTCTTCCCTAACCTCATCCAGCTCATGCTCTGCTTTCCTGGCAGTTCGGAGTGCGTGGGCCTCAGCGTAGGCCGCTTCCCGAATCTCCTCCTCTTCCTTCATTTTATATTGCTGTAGCTTTATGTGCAGTTATTATCTGGGTCTTTTGCATATGGCTCCAATCTCCTTCTGTATCTACAGAGCTGGATATTTATAGCAAGCCAGCCTAAGTACATTATTCCAGCGGTGAGAAGCTGATTGAGTACGTATTGTGATTCCTCTTGCGCCTACGTCAGTGAACAACTGTTGGGTTTTGGCATGCGTTGCATTCCTGGGTGTGGTTGTAGGACAATCCAAGATAGCCTCGGTTATCTTGGCTTTGTTACAGCAGCCCGTCACAGCATAGAGGTTCACATTATAGGCAGCGAAAAGCCCTTCATTCCAGACTGAAAATGTTTTGTCACCTTTGTCTTCAATTTATTTATTTATTTTTGGTAAGATTTGAGAGGGAGAAGTTACATGAGTAACTTGTAGGCCTGGTGTAGTTCACAAACTCCTATTTTTTGTTTGTTTTTAAATATTGTGAGTCACAGGCAGAAGTTTGGTCTTGGACATAGTTGTTTCTGCTTTTCAGCTTCAGGGTTCAGAATCCTGTTTATGCTGAATTTCATCCTGTTCTTTCTACTATGGGTTTGGGAGGTTTCATCTTCCAATATTGGTATGAATGGTCTACTTTCAGCCAGTGTGAGTGTTTAATCTTGAGAAGCTAAAATGCAAATTGGTCGGCCAGCACAGGACTCAGCTGCGAGTTAACACTGAATGCAGAAGGACCGAGTATGAGAAAGCAAATGAGGAATGAGCATGGAAAAAGGAAACCCCCAGTAACTGTCAAACATGACGCACGGACTGCTGCCCCATCGTATGACAGGGAACTCCCAACAGACAACGTGAATATGAGTGTGCTGGAAGCTGTTGTCACTTCGTAGTGTTGGTATCGCTCAAACTCGGGACTTGCAAAGGCTAAGAAAGTTTGTGTTGTCAGACACTGTGTACTTCATAGAAATGTTTCTATATAATCCCTCTATAAACAGTGCTGAAGGTCAACTTCCAGCGCTCTTACTTGGTGAGCGAGAGCAAGAGAGAGGTGGAAGAAGAGAATCTGATGCTTGCAAATGTGCCATTTTTCTTTATAGGGTATTTTCTCATAGACAGTGAGGAAACAACAAAAAAATAAAACTCATTCAAATACTTAAGCTCTTTAATAACAGGGAAGATTGAGTGACTAAACTAGGCTGCCCTTGCAAATTCTTCTTTTTCAGTTAAGGCTTCTTTAATGAAATTTATTTATGGTTGGAAAATGTTGAGTCTAAATAACTGAAGAGCATGTTATTGCATAGATGAATGATCTTTTTGTGTGATGTGTGTGAGTTTACCACTTTGCCTAACCACTGGAAAAAAACAGTTTGGCATAACTCTTAAATATCCTTGGTGTGAAGGCTGAATAAAGGTGGTTTGTGGCTTCCAACTGTCTTTTTGAGGCATGTAATTCAAATGCCTGTAGTCACTTGCATAATTTTGCTGTCATGAAGCTAAATTGGACAAAGAAACATACATGCAATAGCTACTTAGCTTTTTTTTTTCCTCTTAATTTATGCCAGTTCTCTGCTGCTGCTCTTTCTAAGTAGGATTCCAACTTCTCAGTCTTGATGCTGGTAAAATAGAGTGATAAAATGCTTATATTTAGAAGGAAAGGCTTTATATAAATGCTGTCAGCATCTCTGTCTACAGTGGTAAGTTAGGCTGCTACAAATGCTGAAGGAAGACTATTATAGAAAGATGACAAGCTCTGTAGTCCTCATCTGAGAACCCTTTTCCTCTCCAGAAAAATAATACTGCTGGAGAAGACCACTGCCTGGAATAGCGGCAGCTGTCTGGTGTGATGTGTGCAGCCCAGGAAAATGGTAGGGAAGGTGCTGCTGCACAGATGAACTCAGGAGGTGAAGTTCCCAAAGTCAGTAGCTGGACACAAAGCTTGGAGACAAAATTCAGACACATAACTGTGTCTTCAGGTTGGGGACTGCTCCAGCAATTAGCCAGGATGGTACGCTGCTGCTGCAACCAAGTGTGTTGGAGCTGAGAAGATAAAGAACAAACCATGAGCAGGGCAGAAGGATGATGCTGGAATATAAATGGGGCTCCTGAGAGATGATCAACCTTGGATGCGATGAAAGTTACCCTTTAAGAAGTGACAGGAGGTGTTCACACCCATCTGTGCTGGGAAATGCACCTAGGGAGAGCCCACAAATACTGATGTAGGCAACCACAGGTTGAACTCGGTGCTTGGTGATGTATGGTCACAAGACAGTAGCAGCCATGAGTTAACCAGGGGTGAACAGTGGTGTGGGTTGAGTGGACTTTCTGTCATGTGCACTTGTGTTTTCTGGCACTTATGTTTTTAGTGACAGTTAATGTCAAAGGGATGTAAGGTGATGCTGGTCCCCCAGGGACTGTGGTCAAGATCTGCTCTTGTGGAACTTGCCAATGTGACTGGATTATGATTTCCTGAGGAGACCTGATTTTTGGCATAAGTTGGCTTTTATCTCAGTTCAGTACCTATATCACTGGCTGACTGTGTGCATCCCCTGCTCCTAAGTTCATTCCCGTGAATGTAGTAAGGTAAAGTGTAATGTATGTGGGGGAATTACAGGATAATTGAGGAATGTGTAATTGTGAGGGAAGGCAGTGTTGTTTTCCACCTAACTTTAATGACATTGTAAATGGTGGTATCTATGTTATCAATGCCTGATGTATGAAGGACAACTGCATGTTCTGCAAGGAATAGATAATTTTGTATGGTTTCTGGACTTAGAAAAGGAAGGCAGAAGGCACTGTTAAGAAATGTGATCTGTGTATAGAGTAGTTATGCTAGGGTCACCTGCCACAATAGTTGAGTTCGTTCATTGTACCACTTTACACTGTGTAAATCTGTGACTAGTCACAGGTGAAGGTAACACAGTTGTAGCTTTTATGCTGGTTTGAATCTGGCAGTGTAACATCCAGTAGGCTTTGCACCCCGTTCCTATCATGCTTGCCCCAGTGCTGGGTGCCAGCTGTTACACTGCGGGCATTTTTAGAGCGGCTCTCCTGTTCATCCTGCTTTCTGTTTCCCAGCTCAGTTGCCACCCCAGGAAGCAGCTGTCTTCTGAGGAAGGCGATGTGTGGCTGTCTGATACTGGGAACAGGGCATGTGACATTTCATCTTCCCACCTGCACAGCAGCAGCCCAAACTGTTTCAAACCTTAGTACCAGGAGTGAAGTAGGTTGCTTGCAACTGCAGTCATACATCAGCAGGCAACACGTGATACACGGCGATGACAGGACCTGCACGTTCAGATATTCAGAGGAAGCTTCTGAGAGCAGTGATTTGGTTGCTTTGATTTGCTCCTTGCTCTGTGCTGTGCCTGATTTAGGGAAGGTGGCTGGTAGCAGCAGGCATGGAAAGGCTGCTCTGGGTGCAGGGCTGTAGGATCGTCAGGTGATGTTTCTGTCGGTGCTGAGCTTGAAGCTTCATTGAGTGCTCTGATGAGCATGAGACAGGGTGAGAAGGAAGGCAATTTTCTTGGGTGTATCCTGTTTGACTTCTCTTGTTCCTTTGCCAAGCAATTTAAAGTCGGGCAGATGACAGCTATCTGTATGATTCAAGAGGTTACAGCAGCCATATGATTTTTCAGCAGGCGTTACTTCTGGGCAATGCGTTTCTTGGCGTGCTCTGCCACCAAGCTCCGAGCAGCGCAGGGTAGGTGCTCTCTATACTGCAGTAGATCATTATTGATGCTGTACTGAAGTGAAAAATTGTTGGTTTAGAAAGTTTAGAGGCATCTGGGACTTCACTGTCCTATCTGGCTGAGGTCATTCAGGCACTGATGTCCTCATGAGGGCTGTTGGCATCCATGGAGCTGCTGTATTGCCACTGTTCTTGGCAGCCCGGCCTGCGCTCCGGCACTGGTTCATGGGCAGCCTGACCCCCCTCTGGGACAACATCAGCTGCCACGTGGCTGTGGGATGTGTTTAACCATCTGAAAGGGATGGAAGCGTGATCCCCAGGGTGGTAAATGGGATCCTGTTTTCCCTGAGATTGTGTCAGTGAGGGAGGCAGTTTCTGTGCTGGTGGCATAACTAACGCGAGGACAGCTTTAGGGGGCTGTAATCTCCGCACTTACCTCAGTAGTTCAGGGTGATGTTAATATTGGACTTTCTTCTTGGATTTGAACAGCAGAAACAAGAAAGCCAAGAGCTCACAATATTTGGTATTTGTACAACTTTAACTTAAATTTTATTGGAAGCAGGTTTGGTGGATTAATTGAGTCCCGATATGTTTTTCAGTTAATGGTATTTTTTTGCCTGAATGTAGTGATGCTGAAATTAGTTAACTTTCTGTGAGATGTTGAGATTTTTAACCATAAATCCAGTTTTTCTTTCTCGAGCAGTATATTTTTGTCCAGCACTGTCTACTTACAGCACCCACCCGAGTTCCCCAGGACTTTGTGCCTTGGCTTGCTCTGAGAGAAATGATGGGAAGAACAAGTAATTAGAGGTCTAATTTTCAATCAGCTTTTATTCAGGCCTGTGTTATCTCTCCTTTAGGTTCAGTAGTAATTATTGAGACCTGAAACACTAGACAATTACAATGCTGATACCTTCAACCAACTTACCACTTCTCCCAACTAACAGGTTAGGCCAGGCCATACACCTTTATTTTAATTAGCATCAAGGAGAAAAAAAATCTGCAAAAGTTCATCTCACTTCACTGAAGACTGCCTTTTTGCTTGTCTCAGCTGGCATCTTTTTTAAAATAAAGTTGATAGGTGCTCAGTTGCAGTCTAATATGTTATATTTCTGTAGCTCTCACCTGGCCCTTGCTGACAAATCTTTACTGATAGCCTGAGATATTTCTCACTTATTACAGCAAGTATTGCTTGTAATTATCCTTTCATTTGAGGATTTTGCTGAAATAGAAGGCATTTTTTATATTCTTCTGCTGTCTTCCTTAAATTGACCATTTACTTGTATATCAGTGGAAAAATAGGCACTGTAGTTTGGAACCCTTGGAAGATGGGAGAGCAGCTCCTGGGTAATGGGGGATGAGGAGCTTTGTGGACATCCATGGTTAGGGGAAGGCAGCATTGCTGGAAGAAAGCGGTTGTCTCAGCTATTTCCATGGTAGACTGGGAAACTGAAAGGTAGCGCTAGCATTTTGAGGTGCATATCCTACTTGCTTTTCAATCTACGGTCGACCTGCTGTTAAATTTCATGACACTAATAAGTGCTCAGTGTCTCACTGTACTAAGAATACAATAACACTTCTGTTGTTAATATCTAGATCCTTCAGACAACTCCAGTGAAGATTGTTTATTGTTACTACGTGAAGGTTAATTTAAACTGCTCATGTTAGGGGGCACGTTACAGTCTTTTCTTAAAATCCATTTTGATATGAGTACTTCTTGCAAGGAAAACAAACATGCAGAGGCTTGTTCTGGTTTTCATATGTGTGTGTTTGTAGTAATTGTCTGCATTGTAGCAGAAAGTCCATGCTGATCTCAAAAGAGATAATAAAGCTTGGATGTTAACAGATGGAATAAGTAAGTGCAAGGGAAAGCTAACAGAAAAAAGCTGAATTAAAATTCCATTATCTTATGACTAGGAAGGCAGCATGGTGAGGCTGAATATGTTATACTCTAAGCCAAGGACTTGGCTTCTGTGCTAAGTTACTGTAGATTTAATTTTGACTTGAAGTTGTTGAGGTGCTGATGTGAGCACTTGCAGTGCAGGTAGTAGGTGAGGCAGTTTTACTCGTTTGAAGCAGTCTGTCTCAGGTAATGAAATGTTTTTGTTTTTGTTTTTTTTTTTACTAGGGGATGTCATAGTGGACTAATTGGTTTCAATGTGGTCTACAGGCTGGAATTAAGCTCTCATTGTGGTGCTGGAAAGGCAAAGTATTTTGACTAGACTGTTAAATTGCTCCCATTTTGTGATTAATGTTTTCTTCTAAAGAACAACTTCACTATCATGGAGAAGTTTTCAATTATTAATTTGGTATTGGGCAAAAAGGTTGGAAATGATCTAATAATATTTGTATGTTAAATACTGAGTTAGTTATTTAGATAAATGTATTTTCATTGTCAGATACACTTAAAATAGGTCAGTACAACTCTGTTTTCTTTCTCCCCACTGAGGCTAAAGGGAGTCTAAATAACCAGTCGGATGTGGACCCCTGGATTTATAGACATCTCAAGCTGTCTTGATAATTCTCAGCGAGTATGTAATTGCAGATTCACAGTATGTTATTGCTCATCAGCAATAATGTGATACTGATTCTAGTGATCATAATGAAATCTGGTAGCTTCTGTGAAAGGAAATGAGAGAGTGCTGTCAGTATTTCAAAAAATAGTGCCAGTGAGGTTTTGTAGCAAGAGCTGTTAAATACCTGTTCTTGGCATCCATAAACACAAACATTACTATCCTTATAAGCAGAGGGCTTCTAATGCCAAGCAATAGGAAAAAGGAGTAGGGAGGTGAATGTATCAGTTTATATGAGGCAATCTGAAAACCTTGACATGGAATTCTTCAAAACAAAAACCAATCCAAACAACACAAAACAACAATAACAAAACCCCACAACCCTAAATGCAGTCTGATTGATTTGTCTTTCTATCTCATAGTACTTTCTGGATAATAACTCCCTGCCCCCTGCCACTTGGCCATTTCTAGCATACATGTATTTTGGATCTGACTTTATCATCTCTGTTTTCTTTCAGCCCATAGGTTCTCATCTTTTCGTGTATCCATGGAGTCACGGTTATAGCTCCAAGGGAGAAGAATTTTGCGAGAGTGATTTTAAGAAAAGCACTGTTGCAGGACCTGAGGAAAAAAACGTAAGTCACCAAGTCAAGATATTCTTACTACTGTAGGAAAGTTACATTTTGTTGATTTTGATTCTATGGTACTTAGGCTTGGGGAGTTGTTTTAGCCATAAAGTATGTAGACCAGAATTTTATGAAGATAAATACTTTTAAAAGATACCATCTCTCTTCAGTTATGTTGCTATATCTGAATCTCAAAATTACTAAGTGCACCATTGAAGTTGTGCTTGGATTTAACATTTATCACAGTAGGCAGATGTGAGAAACATGAGGCATGAAATGAGGTTTTACATGCTGTGTAATCATAAAGAATACAAGTTGTGTATGTACAAAATTGTACCGAAAAGCTGGCATTGTGTTAAAGAATCCCTTGATTAGACACTTCTTACAGGGACTACGGTGACAGACTTCTTAGACATCTTCTGAGTTCTCTGGCAAAGGAACATAATGGGTTGTATTAGAATCTAGAGAGGATGAAGAATATTTTTAAATGTATTTAACTGGTTCTCTCACTAATACCAGAGGAAGAATTCAGAAAACATTGCATCCTGTGTGCTTAAAAACACGTATAGTTCATATCTTATTTCATTAAGCTAGCTTCTGATTTGATTACATTTGTGTAAAACAAACAGATTTAGGAAATAATACTGTTAGTTCCAGATGATGTTTTGCAGAGCTATTATGAGAAAACTGTTATGAAACAACTCAAACTGGCTCTGAACAGGTGTACAAATGTTGACATTAATTCCTAGTATAGTAAATAAGAATCATATTTCTGGTGAAGAAAGATTTGTTGTTATAAGTCAACCACAGTTGCTGTGTTGGACACCACAGGGACTTCTCTAAGAAGATTTTACCTATCTTACATATGAAAATGAACTTTTTGTATTGCTAAGCTTATTGAGGGATGGTCAAATGTTCTGACTGTCAGAAGAAGTTGCTATACTTTTTCTCTAGAGTTGTTTTCATTATCAAACTCACTGTTCTCTCAAAAGCTCGACACAAAGCCTTCACAATTTCACTTTGAGTTATAAATTAATATTAAAAATGCCTTTGGTAACACTTAGTCTTCTCCTTCCATTGGCTGCAGTCAAAAGTGTGGCTGATTTAGTGTGAACAAGCTGAAGAAAATGCAGAGATAAAAGGACCTTAATTATATTTATTCAACTGCTGGAGGATGGGAATGAGTGAAGTTTCTTGAATTGCTACATAACAGCTGCCAAGCAGTAATGGACATGAGTGCTGCAGTAACAGTATAAAATGGAGTCATCTGTCATCTTGTGAACATACTTTGAGCTTATTTTTTCCTCGTACATACTTCATGGTAGTTTAAGCAAACTTTGATTTTCTAATTGAGATTGACTAGTGCACACATGGCTTGTTGCCACAGTAATTCAGATTTGGTGAGCTATCTGTAATATACAAATTCAGGGGCTGGTTTTCATTTAAATGTCTTTAGCTGTGGAAACTTCAGCTTCTGTGGGCTTGGGGAAGAGAGATCCATACCGCATGGAGCGAGCCAGCTGTTGTAGGTCACAGCGCAGCCGGATGGCAACAACTGTGGTGGGATGCTGTGAAAACTGTAGCGTGAGATCTTGGCCAGCTGAATTTGTGGTGAATGGAGACCAGCCCGAGTTGTGCTGGTTCAGAACACGAGCTTTGCAGCACAGTATTCTCCCTGTTCTAATGTGGTCAGTAGTGGATCCCAGGAAAAAATGTAAGGTGGAGGAAGACATGAAATAAGCCTTGCCAACCTGTCATTTTGGACTGGACATCTCCACCGCAGTTTCTAATAGCCTTTGGAATTTCTGATCAAATAATTAAATTATTTTTTTTTTGAATCCTGTTGTACTTTGCAAAACATCCTGAGGCAGGGAATTGTGCAAGTTAATTGCATATCATATGAGAAATACTCTTTTATTTTGAAACCTGGGCTGCTCAGGAATTCGGTTGTTTGTCCCCGGTTTCTAGAATGTAAGAACTGGAAAATCATCATTCCCTGTTCATTTTCTGATGCTTGTGGTACTATATGTTCTGTAGCTCTACCCACCAGCAAGTTGCTTTTCCAAGGTAAATACCTTTGTATCTAACCTTTCCGTGTACAGAAGCTGTTAAGTAGTTCTAACTGTCCTTGTTACCCTTCTGCAGCGTTTTGTTTCATTTCAGAAATGATGGAGTATCTACAAGAACTGCACAGTATTAAAAATGATTGCAGCCTATTTTTTCTTGTGGCATCTTTCTGGTTTTGTTCTATTCCTTTCATAGTAACTTCTAATAATGTTTGATTATTTGACAGCTACATTTTCTATTTATAGAGGACTAAACATGTCACTCATGATGTTTCCTAAACAATAGTAATAGCTGAAATCATATTCATTGTTATTTATAGTTAATGTCATTCTCTTACCCTTCTTCCATTTTGAGAGCATATGTGAATAAAATAAAAATCACTGTTTGCAGCAGAGATCCCTGTGCTGCATCCCAGTATGCTGCTGTCCTTGTAGATTTACCTAGTTTGATTTACTTAGTTTCTCTCTATGTGCCATACTTGCTGACAGACTTGTCCACACTGGTGTCTGTTTCCACTGACGATTTTTCAGAAAGCTGATAAAAATGTATAGCTTATTGTTCCAAATGTTTTCAGAATGTGGACCATGCAAACTTGTGGACTAGACTTATGGCTGCTGTATGTTCTCAGTGGAGAACATCGCTGCTAGATCAGTTGTCCAAAATGCTGTGGTTTTCACCTTTGTGCTGGTCATGTCCATTATGTAGAAAGCATTGCATAACCCCGCAGTACAAATACATTTTTTTTATTTTTTTTTTTCTTCCTGAAATGGACCCTCCAAATAATCTGGATTAGAGTGCATGTTGGTTCCTGAAATGTGTGCCCTGGATCTGTGGCTTGTTTTTCTGCTTTTGCTGCTGTCACTTAAGATCCAGAACCAAAATGAGCATGTGCCTCCTCAATATGTTTCAGACCTAACAGTAAATAGGTAACGATCAGGTCAGTAGCACGGAAGTATGATTTATTTATTTATTTTTTATTTGGTCTTTTCTATTCTTAAGTAGGAGATGTTTGCCATTCTGGATACAGTTCTTTGTCTATTCAAAAATTGATTACTTGGTTATGAAACGCTCACAGGTATTAGTGAAGTAACTCCAGCGTAAAGCCTTAGATTTGTATGACTGATTTACCAAACAAGTAGGCTTATTTTACTTGTGAAAGAGATTTTCTTTCAGTTCTGAAAATGCATTTATTTTTGTGAGTGTTGACATTTAACTTCAAGCTTTGGTTCCTGGATTTGGGTGATTAAAGGAAATCTTTTCGCACTTTTTCAGCCCTTTCTGTACCTTTTTTTTTTTTTTTTTAATAGGATCTTTTCTAAATTGAACATGTATTTGGACTGATGAGTTTTAAACCTGAAAGGCTAATTTTTGAAAACTTTAGTTATCCAAGAATTAGCTGCCCTAGAAATAAATGATTCACTTGGAAGCGGAATGGCTCGGTTAGTTAGCATTCGTCACATGCATCCAGATGAACTGCAAAGCAGAATTGCTTGAACTGCTTTCTGTGAGGCACTGCTAGTGTTTCTTTAGAAAACTTCTGCTTATTTTCAGTTGGTTTAGGTGGTATAACTCAACTGGCTTTGTATCACATAGAGTGTTTAGGAGACCTGCTTTTATGCTATTGGTTGATGATCATTGCAGGTTATTTTTAGAGTGAGCCCATATAACAAAGGGATTTACTGCCTTGTATCTCTGCACTTAAGCATAGCAGCAAATTGTATGGGACTGTAGTCAGAGCTTGTAATGGCTGTGGAGTCTGATGAATTGGGACATTTGCTTTAGAATAGTTGCTGATGGGGAAAATGAGGATTTTTTTTCTTGTATTTATTGAATTTTTGCACTGCGAGGGACAAGTGGTTTGTTAAGATTGGTAGAAAGAGCATTACATATTACTAGGAATAACCTCAGCCTTACAATGATCAAATGTATTTTTCTGACAGTTTAACTTTTAAGAGTCTGGAATGGGGTTGCTGTGCTGCTACGTCTGTTGCATACAGTTGTGGAATACTGAACACTGTTTAATTGCTGCAGCCTGTGAGTATTTGTTTGAACAGGCTGGCATAACTTAAAAAATTCTGAGCTTTAGGACAGGGCTTATGGTAGCTGAATGTTTCAGCCACCAACTGTTAATAGTGGGTTGGAGTACAATTCATGATTTCATTTCCTGGTATTTCATAATCTATGTGCAATTTTTTGTTTAACTCTGGTTGTTTGCCAGTAAGACCTTGTTGTGTTAACATTTTTTCAATGTCTTCCACCCCTGTCTGTGATGCAGATAAAAATTAGTGAGTGCTGGGAAACAGCTGTGGAGTGCTCACATGATCAGTTACCTTAGCTCAGGTATGAGACCACATGAAGTCTGGTAGATAGAACATCTTCAGTGTTTCTACAGGTGTTTCTGATCTGACTGGATTAACCTTTAAATGTGCCCCCTTCTACACCCCCCCAGACCAGCGTCAACTTTGAGAGGATAGTGAGTACCTTGCATCGTGTGGTGTCAGAGCATCACAATTTCTAAGAACAGCCTCAGAGCAATTAGTATTATTGTTATAGCTCTAACCTCTTTGTGTAAACATGTGAAGGCAACAATTTCTGCTGTATTTTCAAGCTATGGTCTAAACATTACTTTCACTACCAGAAGGTGGGTCACTAGAAACCATCACAAGTTTCCCAAACCATGAAATGTGCAATCTTTTACCGCTGATACACTGGTTTTAGTGGTCTTTCTATTATGTATCCAATGCTTTATTTTTCTGCATCAACCCTTAACTTAAGCTCTAATTAACAACAATAATAATGATGAAATGTATTTACTGGCTCAACAAACGAACTCATGCTTCACCCTCATGTATTTTGACGTCTTAGAATGCTTGCTGGTAGTATTGTATTATTAGATCTTAATTGGGTAATGAAAGGGTAAATGGGTTGGAAAGCCATGTGGT